TGCAAATTCAAGTGAAAATTGCAACCAACGGTTTTATATCTAAACGCAGAGCAAAACTTTGAAGTAGGCAAGTTTTTTGTGGCTCTGTGAGAAGTATTTCATGTAGCAGTTCTCCTGGTTTTACTGTATGTGGAGAAATGTGCTGTCTACGCTCGCCTACGATGTTGCAATACTCTAATATGCCAGATTATTTTTTCTTTAAACTGCTGCTTAAAATCCCTCCTTCGTACTCTCTCTGGAGCAGAACCAGCCCCAAGACCTTTGGGCCATGACCTTTTATAATAATTCCCCCAAAATCTCTTCTCCTATTTTAGGACTAAGGGGTTCCTTGCTCATGGTTATGCACCATTTGTCATTATCTACAAAGACTAAAACGCCAAGGATGGCCTTCAGCTGTCAGCTCTGCCCCTCTGAACAGGGTTTTACAGGATGTCTCATTCAGCTTTTGCAGTCACAGGAGAGGGGAGATTCTTTCATTCAGAGCAGGGAATATCCTCCACAGCTGCAGAACACAGGAGGCCCAGGGAACTTCCTAAGGCCAGCAGCTGTGGAAGAAAATTTTGGCGGGATTGGTCCATTATTGTTGATGTACATAAGGCCTCAAAATCAGTGTCAGGAAATCATGCACATGCAGAGAGACTCATGGTCTTATTTTTCATATTTAGCTCTGCAACTGTAAAATAGTTAAACCTTGCTTTGATGTTATGCTCAACATTGTTAGTATTAATAAAAAATTATGCTGGTTTTTCCTGTCAAGTCATATTTCAGTGAAAACTCAGACCTGCCACCACCTCCCTTTTCAACCAGTCCACCACTGCAGCAATCAAGACTTGAAAAAGTTGTCACAAGCATGAAGTTAAACTGAGTCGACATCCCTTCGTTCATACTGTGGTATGTATGAAGTTAGGAACAATCAGTTTTTAAACACCAACTACTTAACCATCCCCAAACACCCAGCAGCACAGCTGATTGCCCAACCCCACTGCAAAAGTTCATCTTTTAGAAGCCTCCTAGGAGACCTACATGAAGACAATGAAACCTAACCTGGTGTTCTGCACTACACTTTTTTTAGTACTTCTGGCTGTATCATTATGCACAACCCTGAAGATGGGGAGATATTCTGTCAGTCTACTGCCAAATTGCTTGAGTCTTCATGTAAACTCTGTGCTAACTCATATTATTTTTGCACCTTAATTTCAATTCCTGTAACATAGAGGTAACTCTTGCCTAACTTCACACAGGTGAGTGTTTAGCTCATGACCCTCTGATATTCTCAGATTCTAATTCAGAACATCATTAACAATACACGTAACACCAGCAGGGGCTGGGAAGACAGTTTTGCCAACACATTCAGGCAGACTCTAGAGACGATTCTTCTATTTTCTTCAAGTTTCAGTCTGAGGTGAAGTGGCAAAGACTGCCCCTCAAAATCTAATGTTCTGCAAAGCAGCAGCAGATTCAGCACTCCCTACTTCACACCCTGCAGAGCAAGCCAAAACCTAAGAACCAGCCTTGCTCAATGGCTGAACAACAGAGGCACAAACAGATCCATTCAGCAAGGAGAGCCAAAGAAGGAGTCAGAGAGCCAAAGCCACCAGCTTCCTCCTGCTGGCTGTGCAAGTAAGAAAGGAGCCCGGAACAATGGAGGCAGCAGAACAGCATTACTCTGGGGTCATTTGGTTTAGTTCCCAAATGGCTCCTAACAGATGCCTCTAAGAAAAATTTGCTCTGCATCGCTGCTGCCTCATCACCCTGGAGCCACATACCCCATGCTCAGTTTGGCAAACTGCTTCATCTCCCCAGGCTGAGATCCAGACATCAACGGGCCCACTTGGGGGGCCCAAACTCTACTGGCTTTCCTGTGTTTTGGACCCATCCTTAGAACTAGTAATTATTCCTTTGGCAGTGCTTGCCTGCCAGACAACATCTCCCAGCCCATTCCTGTGGGGTCAGGAAATAAGTGCAGTTGAAAAAAGGATTGATACAGAATGGGTCAACTAACAAGCAGAAAACTGTCAAAGACCATTTGATAAGCCCAGGAACAGAGGACTGTGAGGCAGGAGAGGACACTGAAGGAAAGAACACCGAAAGGAAGAGATCATGGAAAGGGACAGAGAATTCTGGGAACAAGAGCATAAAGGGAATGGTGTGACACGGTGGTCCCCAACTCATGGCTTGAAGGCAACCCATAGTAATGTTGCTTGTGACACAGGAAATAAAAATGTCCCAAGAATGGCATGGAAAACAAAGTACAGTGTTGCCAACAGTGTGATAACTGTGCAGTGTTGTTGACAATAAATCAACACAGATTGGGGAGCACAGCTCTTTACCTCCCTTAACTAGAAGTTAAAATCATTCCACCTGTCCCCCCTCCTTTTTTTTTTTTTTTTTTTTTTGTGGCAGCATCTCTGGTTAGAGGAATTTGGCTCTGGAGCTGGTTACAGTATGTGCAGGCACATCCTGCAGCCAAGACAAAGCAGCCATGGCCCACTTCCCCATAGACAAGTGAATTCCACCCCAAATGCCCCAGCACTGCCTGGGGCTGAACTGGCCTCTGATTCTCAGTGCTGCTCCTTTCAGTGCTCTTGCCAATGAGATGGTGACAGACATGTGGAGAGATGGTCACTGCTGCTTTCTGGACTGATCCTGTCTCTGAGGGTACGACCTAACTTCCAAAATTGCAACTCTGCCACACTTGACAAGTAACCAACAGATCACAAAAAAAATTGATGATTTCTGCTGGAGATCAGAAGAAGGAAAAGACCCTCCTGTGAGAATCAGAAGATAATGAAATTTCTTCATTTCTAACCAAATAAACACTGGAATGTTTATTTTCTTGCCCCCATTTCATGTACACGGTGATTTTGAAATATTTCTGTTTATTTTATAATATGCAGCAAAATGAATGTTCCTTACACACTGAAATAAACAACCTTTTTTTCTCCCTGCCATACAGACACACACAAGATTCTACACACAAGAAACTTCCTTCCACATCCTTCCTTTGTGGATGTGAACTCCTCTGGGGCTGACAACTCCCAGCAGAGCCAACGGAACACTTGCCATTGCTTTCAGTCACAATATGATTGTGCCCCTTTCTTGTAGCAGGCAGAGTTAATTGAACAGAGTTGAAGATGTATTGTAGGAGACAGGAGTAAATCAAATTATATGAAAACATTCCCACGGTTTTGATTTACTTCACAGAAAGAAGCAAAATATTAGACATCTTATATTACTTCACATTTGCCTGGAGGGCAAATGTGAGGTAAATGCTAGGAAAATTCTAAAAATGTAGCAATAAGCCCCTTCTACTAAGTTCTGTATGAAAAATGCATTACTGAGAATACAATGTTATTCTAAGATGCTGAACAGGAGTCTCTAAACCCGTTTCAGAGGGCAATAGATTCCACTGGTTTAGATGGGATATTCCTTTGCTAATCTGAAACTGTAAACTAATAAAAATTGTAAACAGAAGGGCTCTCGAAGCATTAAACTGGGCAAGTTTGTAGTGCTGCTGACATCTACTGAGAGAAAGCCAAATTGCACATCTTAGAATGGGATGAGCCTGCCTTGGCCCTTATTTGTTGTTTCCTTTTGTGTTTTCAGCCACATGTTTGCACATTTAATAATTATCTTGTATCGGTACTCACTTGCTTCATTTAAGTTTAGTAAGTCAACAGAGGCGTTATAGGAAACATAAAGGAAATAAAAGGGACATTCAGGAGATGGCTGTATCCCTTTGTATAAATGCTGCAGACTTGTTCTTATAGTTACAACAGCCTGAAGACCTAGATTGACACACAGCATCAGGGATATCAGGATGCAGTTCTAGTTCCTTCTGACTGTACATAAAGCCCTCAAATTGTGGCAGCTGAAGCCAAAACTCACACAGTAGAAAATACTGGATGTAATATTGAAAATGTATGTGTCATTTGTTTCCTACTGGAAAAGGATAATATAGCTAGACTATGGCAGGAATAAAAACATCACCACTACAAGAATGGAACTCAAAAAACCAAGTCAGAAACACTTTTTGCTCTGTGTGTCTTTTGTCAGGATGACATATAGTAGTTACACTATTCAGACAATTCAAGAAAAATTTTTGCTGGTATCTTGTGCATTATAAAGTGTATTCTTTCCCCATGCTGAACAGAGAAGAATTCATAGCCATCCCTACAGCCACAGAACAATAACCATTACTGCAGGTCTCATGTCTAGGGGTTTCATTCTACAACAGGAAAGGTGTGTCCATCTCATTTGGGGTAATACCAAAACTAATGGGGGTGTAAGGGGAGAAACAACATAAAAAACTAACAGAGTTGGAGCAAGTCAAGGAGGCAATGATTGAGAGGGTGTGTTTCTCCACTTCTGGGGCAAATTTCTCATCCCTGATGTTACACTGAATTTACAGGATTATAAATAAAAACTAATTTGCCAATAAATATTTGTAACATAGTGCAATACTATCTATAAAGCAGTTTAATTAATTTTCTTTTGTAATAAGAGAAAGACCCACAGCCAAAATTAAATATCTCATTACAAGATTCAATCTGTGAATAAGCTGTTATGAAATCCCCCTCTGACCTTGACAGGACCAGGATTTCAGTCTCTGTGAGGGCTTTTCACTGTAGCTTTCTGCAGATTCTGAAACAGATGTAAACATGAGATCTTTGCCTCATGTATCTGTTGTATAAGATATCCCCAGCAGTAATTTTTGGTCACACAGGTTTGAACTCCAACTTTTTTAGGTGAGTAGGTCCAGTGGATAAAGCTGATACACACTCAGCTCCCATTTAAGCTCTGCTTTGAAAATCACACATAGATTAAAAACTGCAGCATAGGGTTGGAAACCCTCTCCTGATTGTTCTCTGACTGAAGGTACCTCATTTCCATCTATGCCCCAGTCATCACCTTGAATTTTTCTTGGTACCTAAAGCTTGGCTTCTACAGATATTCTGACATGCCATGATCTTGGGAGGACTGTACAGTTCAGCACTTACTTCTCTCCCCGAGGTCCCTCAGGATTCACGCAGCCATCACTCGTGTCTGATCCAGGGCAGTTCTCACTGCTCACACTGACCTCCTCAGGAAAAGCAGCTGCAGCCTTGTATTTCCTCCTGCAATAGGAAAATATGGGTTATACAGTTTCTCCACCATAACAACACTACACAGAGCAACTGGAACCTCCCTTCAACATCTCAGACAGGTTTGAACCCATGTTCTCCCTCTCCCTGAGGTTTGCTAAACTGGGGAACAGCTTCCCCAGAGGAGATAAGCTCACACCAGTACAAAACAGTTTGCAGGCCTCTGGCTGATGAATTCTTCAGAGACATACAGCAGATAGACTTGAAGGGAATAGGCTCTCTGCAATAAGGGGATTTAACTCCAGCTGAATTGTATGGGCATCTAATTTTTGGATGGTGTGATTTCAGCAAAATCACAGCTTCTGGAGAGAAATATCCAGGAACCTTATCTCCTGTCAGAATGCTAATCCAGAGTACCCAGAGGTATTTCCTTACTGATTCCCTTTTTGCTTTCTGGTGCTTTCAAAGGGGGCTTCTCACATATTTTATAAGAAGCCCTGGCACTTAACTCATGGCTGTGCCTTTCACTCTGTGCTCAGACTTCTGAAAACACAGCATAGTGCTCAACAGTGCAACATCTAAGTCTCAGGAAATCCCCTAATGAAATGCCATTAATACACTCATATCAATGCACTTTAAATGGGCGTTTAGGAGGGTTAAGTATATAGTGCAGCAAAATCCCACAGCCTGGTACTTGGATGGAGTTCTAACACACTGTTATGTTTAAAAACACACAGATCAGAAATAAAGATGAGAGAGCAGATATATTTGAACAACTGTTCCTGAACAGAAATCATTTCCTTATTCTATTACAAATCTATTTATGATTACCTAAAAAGAATGTTGAAACATAAGACTTTCTAGAAATAACTTGGTTCCAAAATGAGTCTCTGAAAAGGCTCATTCTGGCTTGCACTCATCGAAAACCAAGGCACTCAATATCAACATTTTGGCAATTCTAATAACAAAGACTGCCAAAAATATGTTGTCTATCAAATGTACACGGAAGAAAGATGTTAGAATATTAAGAACAGATGTCACAGATATCTTCGAAAATACTCATGCTCCCCAAGTACTCTGCAAGGCAATATGTACAAAACCTCATTGAAAGATTAAATTAATGCATCTTGTTCAAATGCTTCCAAGTGTTGTATATGCATGTAAACTTACTTATAAAATATGTACTTTTAAAGATGTTAGAAAGAAGGATTGCATCATAAATTGATAATGGCCTTCTATCTTAAAATTGGAGCTTTAACAGTTTGACAACAGAGTAAAGACTAGTTTTTATAGTCTGTTATTTAAACCATTTTCTTCTGTGTGTGCAAGGTTTTCCAGTTATTGAGTATTCGTGTATTTACATTTTAATTATTATTCTACTGACAAAGAAAGTTTACAAAAAAATTCCTATTAGAAAAACATGTAAACAACTCTAGTGAAAGGAATTTTTACATAAAAGTAGCTTATTGTCTAAAATTAAAAGACCACTTAGAAAACATAAATATCTCCAGAGTTCATTTGAACAGGCACAAAACATGCTTTCTTCCTCTGCTCTATTTATTTTCAGTACTGACAATCCTAAACAGTAAACATTAAGCCACTTTCCAAACAGAAAATCATGGCAATTGGCTGATTTATTTATTTATTTGTTAGCATAGGAAGCATTGGATTCTTTATAAATGACATTTATATTAAGAAAATATTTTACCTCTAGGGCTGATGTTCCAGATTTCAGCATAGAAAATCACCTTACAAAACTGAAGCCCAGCTTTCCATGTATGACTGATTCAGGTGATAGAGTGTTAAAAAACAAACAAACAAACACAAAAACCAAACCAAAACAAACAAAACTCCCCCAGAAATCTACTGAATATTTTAAAGTTCATAATAAAATAATAGGCAGTGATACCATGGTGCCTCTTATGGGATGACATTTCCAGGTAAACAGCCAAGAAACAAAACATAGCAGTTTGAGCCAAGAAACCAAACACAGCAGTTTGAGCTAATGATTTTGATTTTTTATATTTTCTTACTGAAATCAGAATTTCAGTGAGAAGGGATTCATGGCCCTATAACATACATCACCAAATTGCATTCACGTGAGCACACTGAGCCAACAAGACTCGTCTTTAAGTTTAAACCTGTCTGCATACTGAACTCAAGACTTTCTGAGGTAAAAGACCAACCATTCGATGCCAAAATGACAGTGCTGAACTCAGAAACGCGATGTGGGAGATACGAGACAGTACAATCCTAATGTAACAGCAGCAACAACATCGACATTTTCTGTTCTTTAAAAGCTTTGAAAACAGGGCTCATTTCTTCTGACGGGATAATGGCAACACAAGGCTGACAACAACTACAACACTTTCCTGGCCCAGGGCAGGCCCGGGTGCCCTCAGCCCCTCACAGGACAGGGGCTGTGGAGCTCCAGCCCTGCCGGGGGTCCAACTCCTCCCACAGCACAGCCTGGAAAACATTCCCGTGACCACCGGCATGTGTGAGGGCTTCGTGGAAAAGGGGCACATTTGAGCCTGTTTTCGTGGAATACACGTGTACAGGCTTTGCCAGACCAGGCCCTAAACCACGACTCCTCTTTTTTTTTTTTTTTTTTTTAAGATCATCCCCTTACAATTAACAGATGTAAAGACGAACTTGGCACGTACGGATGGCTTAATTTTTTTTTCTCCCTTCGAATAACCTGGTTATATCCAGTTTCCGCAGCAATCCTACGAGTGTTTACATTGTTGGGGTTTTTTTTTCACTTCCCTCCTTTATTAATAGAAAGCAGGCCCGGCGTGCCCGGTGCCTGGGGAGGCCGCGCAGAGGAGGGCGCTGCGCCGGGCAGTGTGAGGGGCGCTGTGCGGGGTTATGTGTTTTGTTCGTATCTGCAGACCTCCAGGGCCCCATTCCGCCCTCCCTGGCTGAGCTCCAGGCCCAGGCTGTCAGCCAGGGAGAGCACAATATCTCCAGGCTATGGCTCATTTAAAGTTTTTCCTCAGCTCTCACCGAGCTTTTCCTTGCGGCGCAGGGGAGGCCGCGCCATCTCCTCCCGCCTGAGGCGGCCCCAGACCCGCTGTCGGCCCGGTCACTGCTCCGGTTCTGTCACCGGGGCTGTGCCACCCTCACAAACACAGT